CCCCCCTCCTTCTCCCTCCTCCTCCCTCCCCCTCCCTCCCCCGTCTCCCCCATCTCCCGTCACCCACCTCCCTTCCTCTCACACTCACACTCACACTCATTTCCCGGAACCCGAACTTTTTTTTTCCCAGCCCCGGCTGGACGCACACCGGCTACGGCTCCGCGCAGGGCGACACCGCGCCCGACCACCGGCCCAAACCCGACGGCGCCTGGTCGCCGGAAGAGACGGTGCTCTACATGCTCGACCGCGTCCGCGTCGGCGAGTTCTACATCCTCTGCCCGGACAACGAGACCCGGCCCGCGCTCGACCATCTCCGCATCATGTGGAGCGCCGGAGGTCAGCGATTTCCCTCCTTCCCCCCCTGGCTTTGCGCCTTTCTTTTTTTTGCTTCGTCCGTTGTCGCTGATGATCAGGTTTCCTACGTTCTACGTTTGCAGATATCACGGAGAGCAGGCCCGCGCTCAGTCGCTGGCACCCGACGTACAAGAGCTTGTACGAGGAGTACATCCGGGACGGCCTCGCCTCTCTCGATTGAGCAAAGTTTCGCCTTCGTGGGTAATATAAATACCGCTGCGTCAAAGGAAAAAAAAATAGCATCCCTCCATAGATTTCACCCGCCTTTGGTCCTCGCTTCCCCCCCCCCCCTTCTCTTGTGATTGTACGTTTGCACGGGCCGGAAAGAAGAAGAAAAATAAAAATTCAATGTGTACACGTAAATTAGATGTTTGTCCAGATCCAGTACAGTTTGGAACCCGACCGAGTCCAGGATTCGTCCTACTCTTGAAATACAATGCGAATGCGATAGCGACGACGACGTTCTTCCTCCTCCTTTCTCTCCTCCTTTCTCTCCTCCTTTCTCCCCCACCCCCTCCCTTTTTTTCCCCCGTTCCGTCGGACGAATCAGTTGGCCAGATCGCGCGCGAAATGGAAAAAGTCGACGCTCGAGCCGTTCACGCCGTACTTGTATATAAAATGGCTCGCGACCCAGCTCGAGAACAGCGCGCGCTGGTACGGCTCCGGCAGCCGCCTCAGCAGCGTCTCGAGCCCGACCTCGTCCACGAGCGTCTTCGGTATCGCGCGGCGCATGACCCCGCGCCGGCTCGGCGCGTCCTCGAACAGGTCCGAGCCCTCGAGCTCGTCCGTCAGCTCGTTCAGCCTGCTCGACAGCTCGTCCGAGATGAGCGTCCGCGGCTTGGACCCGCCGAGCCGCGCGTGCTCCTTCCAGATGCACGAAAACTCGGCCGCCGCGTTCTCGGCGATCTTCGCCTGGATGTCCTTCACGTAGCTCTGGTAGAAGGCCGAGGGCTCGCCGTCCTTGAAGATCATCAGGTTCACGTATTCGTCCGTCGAGAGCGCGAGGCCGGCGAGGACTTCGAGCGACGAGCTCGTCACGCCGCCTGGGCGAAAGGCTGGGCATCAGAACGCCGTACGACGCATCCTGGTTAGCGCGCGGACTCACCCTTGTTGGCGCTCGAGTCCTTGAAGAGGATGACCTTGCGCTTTTCGAGGTAAAGCCGGGCTTGCTGGGTCAGGAACAGATTCGCGCCCTCGACGATGTACTTGAAGTGCGGCTTGCCCTCCGAGTCCACCAGCGCCGCCACGTTCGAGATGTTCACCGCCTCGGGACTACCACGCCATGTCAGTCAGATGCGACGACGCTACGGCAATATCGACTCACCGGCCACCGCACGGCACCAACAGGTCGGCCTTGAACCTAAGGTGTGCGGTGTTGCGGAAGTCCGTGCCGTCCACGATGACTTCGCCAGCTGCATGACGTGGCGTCAGCTCTACCGTCTTGCAAACTCATCACCAGGGGGTGCACTCACAGGGCAGCTTGACATCGTGCTCTTCGACCTTCACGAGGTACCCCTGGCTGCTCAGCTTGGACGTGTCGAAGAACGCGACGGGCTTGCGCAGCTTCGCGAGCCGGACGAGCTCCTCGCGGTCGATGCCAACCGGATCGGCAAGAACACCGGACCCGTCGATGATCGCCACCGTCTTGTCCGAGCTCAGCAAGATCTCATCTATGAGAGAGTTCCGCGTCAGAACTGTCTTTCGCCGACATGGCGAAGCCAAGGCGATACGCACTGGAACCAAGGTCGCCGTCCGGCCCGCCCGTCTGCACCTTTGTGATCTCGCTCTCCTTCAAGCCGAGCTGCTTGTAGATGCCCAGCACGTACTGCCGGATCGACAGCGAGGTCATGCCATACGTGTCGTGGGGCACGCCACCAAGCGTCTCCGCGGACTTGCCGGTCGTGAAGGACTTCCACCAGGTCTCCGCGCCGCGCGAGCGAGCGTGCACTATACGGGATGCGAAGATTCAGATGTATGCATAACGCAGCTGGAAGGAGGGACTCACGAGCAGCCCAGTCCATCATGTCGGCGGTGCCCTCGTCGGGTCCGAAGAAGAGGATTTCCGGCTTTCCGTACAGGTCGACGAGGCGCTCCTTGATGCCAGGCGTTTGGCCAGGGATGAGCAAGTCGACGATAGCCTGAGGAGTCGATCAGCGACTGAGCTTGGGCGCATATGCAAAGATACCGACGTCGACATATTTTTCGAAGCATAACCTCGGGTCCGCACCGAGCGAGGGGAGAATCGTCCCTTTGGCACCTCCTTCCGGGATATCCTAGCACGAGCCTTCAGTTATTGACCAATAACTACCGTTAGCACGCGTCCCGAGGCAACCGACCTTGTTCTTCAGATTCTGCGTGCTCGCGAGGCCGTAGTTCTCGTCGAACAACATCCTCTGGTTGATCGAGTAGTTCTCCTTGTTCCGACTGCGCACGATCCGGATGCCGCCCCGCGCGACGTCCTTGAACCGCAGGTGGAAGCCGCGGAACTCGTTCCCGATCACGAAGAACATGCCGAACGGCGTCTTCGGGTACTCGACCGACGGGAGGAACGTCGGCGCGAGCCGGAACGAGAGCGCGACCTTGGTCGGCTGGTAAAAGTTCGTTTTGAGGATGTGTCTAGGAGGAAAGATTTGGGGCTCCCGTTAATCAGCCGTCGTTGAACGACAGACGGGAGGAGAACGCACTTGTTGAAGATGAGGAAGGCTTCGAGAACTTGGAGGTCGTTCTTGTTCGGCACCGTGCGGCGGATTTTGTCGTACAGCTGTTCGTCCGAGAGCACCTGGACGGTCTGCAGCCGCTGGTACGACAGCGTCGGCCTGCGCACGTACTCGTCAGTAAACCCCGTCCTGAACAGAAACGCAACAGGGAGCGGAAGTGGCGCACGCACATCATCTGCGCTTCCTCCGCCTGGGGGTAATGCGTCATGGCAAAGTTGACGTAAAGCTGCCGGATGAGGTCCGCGTGGGCGTGGATAACCTGCGCGATGCTCTCGCGCGTAAACGTCTCCTCCCTGAACCGGCGCTTGATCGCGTTCAGCACCTCGGCGTGCGCCGGGTCGGCCTCGTTCAGAATGTTCTTCAGCGCGAGGTAAGAGGGGCCGAGCCGGTTGCAGAAGTGCTGCGCGAATATCCAGCCGCAGTCTTCGAAGGGTTGAATGTTAGGATGTGTGGAACGAGAGTGAAAGAAACGTCTGCGAGAGCTTACAAGCGTAGGTGGCTTCTTGGACCGGTTTGCCGACTCCGGTTTCCTCGTCGACTTTGAAGAAGGGGTTGTCTGGGAGGCAGTAGAGCAGGCTGGCCTCCTTCATGACCTGGAAGATCGAGTGCTCGATCGGCGGTGCTTGGGTATCAGGCAGAGGGTTGAGGTAGAGCGAGATGATGGTAATCCCATTCGAAAATTGCTCTGCAACGCATATCGTGATCGTATTCAAAGCCAACGGGGAGGCTTTAGAGACATACCAACGTATTTCCTCACTGAGTAGAGATCGTAGAAGTGGTAGAGGTTCGATAGGGCGCTGAAGAATCCCTTCGTGGCGCCCATTTTGTATCCGATAACTAGGCGCCTGGTCCATGTTGGTCAGATTTCGGTCCGAACACACGGCGCGGGGAATGTGTTACCTTTCCCGGCTTCCCTCGACCTCGAACACCTCGATGACAGGCCCGTAGCGTTCTTGCACGCTCCACATAACGCGCTGGTAGATCTCGAGCGTGTTCTCGCTCGCCTTCTCGAGGAAGCTGGCGTCGCTCACGCTCCGGATATCGGTCTTTCCGTTCGACGTCTTTGTCTCCGAGGATGGAAAGTGACACCTGTTGACGAAGTAGCATCGGAGCTGTTGGGAGGCCGTGGCGGAGATGGAGCCGGCCGAGCGGAAGGTCTCGAGGCGGAACGCGTTGGATGGTGTGGAGGCGTCGAGGTACAGTTCGTCGATCCTGTACGCGCGAAACCATGATCAGTGCCGCGTCGGACCGAGACGCGAGAAATGGGCACGGACCTGCTTTCACAGGTAGCGCCCGGACCGTCCGTGGCCGTCTTGCCGGGCGCGCTGGTGTGTATGAACGTCGCGCCGCGCTCGTCGACTTTTTCGAGGTCGATGACGAGCTTTCCGGGGTCGTGCTTGGTGTAGGCGAGGACCTTGGCGCCGAAGAGGGCGATGATGTGGTCTGCGATGACATCGACGGCCGTGCTGGAGAAGTAGGTGTCGTCGATGCCGAGCGAGGTGTAGAACCAGTTGACTTCGTTAGGCACGAGCGGCGCGGGGATGAAACCCTGGTCGAGATTGCGATGAGCGTCTCCGTTCGTGGTATGCAAACGATGTTAGAGCGTCTGGTGCGCACCTTGGCCGCGACGTTTGCCTGGACCTTGGCGCGCTGCTCCTCCTTCTCCTTGAACACGGGCGTCGAGTAGCCTGATTCGTTCTTGATTCGGTGCAGCGACGGATCGCTCGCGGCCGCGCCGCCGGCGGTCGAGTATGAGCTCGGCTGGCCGGGCACCGCCAACTTATTACTGCTCATCGTAAGATAGTTCTGCTCGCTGGCTGTCGTCGTCTACGGTGTCGTCGAAGATGGTCTCGGGCGGCGAGCTCAGCGGGAAAGAAACTGGATCAGAGATTGGGTTTTCACGGGGCAACTCGTGCAGTCGAACGTGAAGTCTGTGAAGTCATGGTGCCGAGCCTTATATAGGCATGGTTGCGGTCCCCGATCCTGGGTCTCAACAGCGCGACAATATCCGGACCTAATTCCCGGCACACCCATATTTCGACGCGAGCGGTCGAGATCCGAACCCTCATACGAACCGGTGCAAGCGTCCGGACCATCGCCCGGCGGTGTCTCACTGTTGGGTTGACCAATCATCGGCGTGTCCCTGTAGCCTGTGCATCGCTCGATCTATTTCTGGCAGTGCGGCTCGGTGGTTACGGCCTGTGGCGAGTGTCGGTGCAAGGTACAGGGAACAGGAAGATCCGCGAAAAAAAAAAGAGAGAGAACTGCATGGGAAGGATGGAGAGGCGGTACGAACTTGTCCCAGCGCGGCCATCTCGCCGCGCGACACAGGCCTAGACGAAATCAGCTTTGCCTTTGACTTTCGTCATCGCTCTCCTGGATCCTTCACCTTCGTCGATCCTCACTCAGGTGCTCACCCCCAGTCCGAGGCGCGACTGATCACCCCGAGGTCTCGGGCCAAATGAACAACGGCTCGGACGCAACGGTCAAATGACGAAACCCGTGCTTTGGCGACGAAACGCGAAGAAATGAGCACGATCCGTGTCACCTGGCGCCAACATGCGCCCCGGGACCTTCGCGAACGGTGGATCATCTTGCGCGTTGCTCGCGTCACTGGACCCGCCGAGGTTAGCGAAATGCCGTCCAAAACCTGTTTCTTCCGTGTCTGGCGCGCTTTGTTTATATTACCCGACGACCGTGTGCGGCATGTGCTCATCCTCGAGCAACGTGGCGAATATGGTGTCGACGCACGAGTTCGTTTGGCTTGCGCCGTGCCACGAAGACGAGAACGGGTTCGAGCCGAGGAGGCGTTGATACAAATTTGCGTGGCAGAGCTGGGGGTGATCTCCGCCGGCTCGTACGGACTGCGACGGTACATGCTTCCAGCGCATGCAGGGTCGGAAGGCGTCCCAGTTTGCTCAAATGCCAACTGCTGAACGAAAATACGTCTGATCTCCCTCTTGGATTCTCAGTGCGAATCGATCGACGGAGAAGACCCTTGTAAAACTCCGTTTGTGCCATGCTACTACCTCTAAGATTAGGCCGAGTCTGGCCAGGACACGTCTTGCCCATGTTTGTTTTCCCAAGAAAGGGGTTCAAGACGCGATCCTTCTTCTAGATTTATGTGTGCTCTGACACCGGAATTCCTTGCATGTCGTTCTTTCGCCGCAGCTCAACCGCTGCCGACGCTGCGAAACTGCTGGCCCCGTCTCTGCTGCCGGGTGCTGCCTTATCTCCCTGACACCTGTCACTAGGCAGAGGTTGCAAAAAGCGAGCCATAAGTCTCGTCTCATGGATGTGCAACATCTTCAGCGTCGTTGTTCGACTTTGATCCTATCCGCCCTCTGGAAACATGTCACACATGATCTCGTGAAAAGACGATGCGATTAAGGTTATGTCCCACGAAAGGCGGGAGCTATAAGGTGGCTTATTCTTAACCTTAATTCTCACCCGACGCTGTCAGATATGCGATATGAGTTTGATTCCTCCCTCACGTTCTGGCTGAACGTCGCAGTCGGCGAGCTCTTCCTCTTTTCCCTTCATCCTCCCAAATGCCTCGCCTGGGTCCAGCGCTGCGAAGGTCCGGCGGGAAAATCGTTCCCGCCATTCTCCCAACGCTGGACTTGACGAATCCGAATGACAGGGAGATCGCCAAAAAGTGGCACGTCATTGCGGTGTGCAGAGTGTTCCTTGCCTCGCTCCTCGCTTATCTTGCGGTGTATCACCACCATACTGACCCTGTTGTCCCAGTTTGATATGCGTAAAACGGCGAAGAGGTACCTGCACCCAGGGAAGAAGCTGGCAAGTCAAGATCCGGATGCCGTCGATAGGTACATAGCCAAAGTTAGGCTCGCCTTTTCTCTGCCAGGAATGTCGTGCTGCGATCGCTCACCACGTTCATCATCCTGCAGCTGTGCGAGCAGTACCCTTTCTTCCGTCGGTACGACGACGCATGGCCCATTCGCAACTATATCGGGCAGCATCTCGAGAACCTTGTCCACGAGAACAGACATAGACAATCGGCGCGCTGGAGAAAGACTCTTCTCATGCGCCATGTCGGGTACAAACAATTTGATCTAGGAACTCCGGGGCCCGGTCCCTCTAAAGCGCGTCGACGTAAGAAACGACCTGCTCAAGATTTCATTGATCTCAGCATGGATACCGACGACGACGACGACGACCCGGTCTTCGCGCGGCTGCAAGCCCAGAACGCGAGTTCCTCCTGTCGTACATCCGATCCGTCTTGAATCGCTTTCTCTAGGCTACCTCGAGCATTAGTGCGCCTCCTGCGACGAGTCATGAACGTTCGGCGGGCCCGTCATCCGTGGGCGACACGCGGGAGTCTCTCTTCGACACACATTTGGACCGGGATCCCCATTTGCTGTCAACTGCACGCGAATCGGACCCCATCGCAGCGTTTTTGACCAACCTAGAGGTCTCGCTCCTCCATCTGCGAGTCGTCCTGGGGAAGCTCGGTATCGAGGGGAGGGTGAGTCCATCCGCAGGGGAACCAGTAGGACTATACGAAAGCCCAAATGTACTTCCTTTCCTTAGACCCAGCTCGACGATCTCTGCGGTTGGGAAGTGGACGAGCGGAACGCCTGGCTGGACAAGCAACTCCGTCCGCAGACGCTCGGCGTGATCACGCCGTACGAGCTGCGGGTGATCAAGACGGCGATGACGAGACGAGGGCGCTATCTGAAAGATGCAAACAAGGAGAACGAAATGTAATTTTTTTCCCCGCTTATGACTCCGTTCCCTGCTCCAAATGAGTCTATATGTAATTTTGCTCTGTAATCTTCCGTTGTGCCTTGTCGTCGCGCTCTCACCGGACCGCTTGCGGCGCGTCGCGTCGCGCTTAGACACGAACACGTGAGCGTGATTCCGAGAGGGTCCCATCAAGGCTCATCAAGGTGCCTCTCCAGCACCCTGGCATGCCCTTCGATCATCTGATGGCTCTGCGGTGCCCCCGGAGGTCTACGCGCCTGCATTCCTACCGCGACTCATATCGAAGCCAAGTCATTACCCATAAAATCCCGCTGACCACAGCTCCTCTGGTGACGATCCTCAATGGCGGGTAGCACAACGTCTCCGGCGCTCGAGAGCGGCTTGAAGGCTTTTGGCGACCGCTTTCCGCACCCGTTCACGACCAACAATGAGCTGGGTTACGGAAGCTTGACGCTGCCGGGCAGGGATCGACCGAGGACGCTCGTGGAGCTGCTAATGTGCAAGCTTTCATCGACGATACGAGAAAAGCCGAGATGGCACGAGAAGTTCCAGGACCCGGCGGTTCAGCAAAAGTGGAGGGAGGAGGTTCTTGAGCAGCAAGGGGTGTCGGTGCCCAGAAACCTAGCGTTGACGCCAAATATGGTAGAGTTTGCCATGCAGGTTGCTCATACGATTCTGACACGAAGGCTACAGATCAACTATGTGCTCGGGGAATTGACCGCATACGCGTCATTGAGGGATCCCGAAACGGGGATAGAGGTGCGTTTGACACAATGTCATGACTGAAGTAGTCACCTGCAAAGGACTAACGTTGACCGCAGGTAGGCCCCTACGACCGCATTTGGAAGTCGGATGAGCTGGTACCGGAGGACCTCCGCCTCGAGCTCCTGGATGCGATCTCTCCGTTGGAGAACGTGCCCGAAGATGAGAGGGACTGGCATCCCCGTTCCAATGGTCAGGTCCTCGACCTAGTTCATCCATCCCTGTACCCGATCGTTTACGGTACGACCTTTGACACTTCCGGAAACCGGGTGCGTGCCCCGGTTCCAGAAGGCGATGCAGAGGAAGAGGACGGATTCCTGTCCGAATTATTTCAATGGATACCTTCCGACTTTGCCTTCAAAGAGGACAAGAGGACCATAGAGCTCGTCTCGCCATACATCAACAACGTCCACCCGTCGGACCACAAGAAACTCTACGATGTCATCCCGAAGCTGCTCGAGAGAGCCGTGCCCATGTTCGACCGGGTGTTGTCGGACCTACGAAGGGAGATCGAGTTGCCGTTCAGAGTGGGGCCCAGCAATGGACCTGATTGTATTTGGCCGGGAGAGGCAAGCGTTTCCACCCTCCTTATGATTTGCTACCATCGCTGACGAGCATCATCCTGATAGGAAAACGTATATGGCGAAGATCTTGATTGGAACAATCTGCATTGGCCTCTGCTCTCTACGCATGAACTCAGGTTTCCCGACGCGCCCTCCGAGTACAACGGTGGCTTGGACGACGTAAAGCTCACCGAGCACCTATCCAATTGGAGGGGCTTTCAGGTGATTGTTAAGCTTGCAAACATAATGCTCACTCCGGAGAAACCTGCATACGAAGGGGGTAGTTGGCACGTGGAAGGCGAGCATCGGGACACTAGTTCTCTTCTGATATGAGGGACTGATGCTGTAACTTCCAGGCATGAAGAACGAAAGCATAGTTGCCTCCTTCATATACGTGAGTGCTTCTTGTGCAAATGCATATGAACGTGAGCACGCAGCTGAGGGTCTCCCTGTCAGTATTACGACTCCGAAAACATCACGGAATCTAGTCTCGCCTTCCGAAATGCGACGGCTGAGCCGGACGACCATCATCAGCACGACTTCGAATGCATGTGGCTCCTGTACAAATACAAGCAGTGCATGACTTTCAGTCCACTTGTTTTCTGTTAAGGCGCTAAATGATTTCTAGGTGGGAAGCTACCTCTCAGGAGATCGGTGAAATCCCGACGAAACAGGGACGCACGATCGCGTTCCCGAACATTTACCAGCACAACGTGGGCAAATTCGAGCTCATCGAAAAGTCGAAGCCGGGGCATCGCAAGATATTGGTCTTTTTCCTCGTCGACCCCACAACGACCGTGCCCAGCGCCTCTACGGTGCCCGCACAGAGGAAGGACTGGATCCAGCGCGCCGTCGTCGAGGCTACGGCAAACCCGAGATCGCTGTGGTCAAGATTGCCTGCGGAGATTATCGACATGATTCTGGAGTACGTATACTCTTATGCGATATCTTCGGAAGATGCGGTGCGGATTCGGGAGGAGTTGATGAATGAGCGCACTCAATTCGTCGAATTCGTCGATGGCCAACGGTTTAACCACCCTTTCAATCTGTGGTATGCCCTTTCAGTATTATCATTGATGCATGTCCGCTCACTGCTTTTCCACCAGTGAGCATTGATATGACGGAGATTATACTCTACCTATTGGTGGATGTGCCATGTATAGGGTATTGATGCTCATGCCCGATATCAAAGCCCGGGAAGCTTGAAACAAAGGCGCTCCCTCAATTTATAGAAGTGACAAACGTATTCCACATGCACATCACTGCGGACTGGCATATCGTCACTGTACGAAACCTTTCCTCCCGGTCTCCAGCTCAAGTCGACCCTTTCGTCTACCGGTGCAACAGTATGAGACGCGCAGCTTGCCGTACGTGCACGTGTTAAGGCGCGTTTCGTTTACGTCTCATCGCGAAGGTTGTGCGAACGTAAGAGCCTAAGAGGGCGTCGTAGCATCTTCGATTCTCATGTTCTATAACCTAATGTCATGTTGATTCAGGCATGCTATATCTATCCGACATCGGTAATGCAACCGTTGACTTTTCCCTCCCTCTCAGAGCTAGGATGCAGGCTCTCATTCCGAGGCCTGAGATACGCTGGCGCCCGTCGATGCCTCCACCAATGGACTCAACGGATCCTGCATACCAGGGCCTCGTCGAAAACTGGCATCACATCACCGTAAGTCGCTCGAATACATCGACGGAGGTTCGCGGTGTATCCTATCACGCCAATCGTTATTCGCCAGTACGAAATGCGCATTGCGGCGCGTAAACATTTACGTCCGTCGACGAGGCTCAGAGATCAGGACCAGGCAGCCGTCGACGCGTGCGTCGTTGATGTGTGTTGTCCGTTGAGCTAGAATACACGCGACGACTGCTTACCTGCCCACTTTCTCGCAGATCTGCAAATCATATCCCCTCCTTCGTCGCTACGATGGCGTGTGGCCCGTAGAGGACTACCTCGACCAGTACATGTGCAATATGAAGTCCAAGAAGGGGTATCCAAGTTTCTGGAGAAAACCGTACCACAAGCGATATCCCGGATCTTACAATCCGCACCGTCACCCGCCTTCCTCTCGTCCTGATCCATCAAGGCGCACAACTGTCCGTCGCAAGAGACAGATCACGGAGGACTTCATCGACCTCACCCACGGTTCGGACGATGAGCCTGATTCTGAGAATCGACGAACACAGAATGTCGGTTCCCTACGTAATCGATATGATGTCAAACTCAACTCACACTCTTCCAGGCGGCCTATATGGGTCGTGGAGAATCATCTCGTTCGTCGTACACCTCACAGGCACGCACCCCCCTTTCGGATAGGTTGCTTAACAGGATCCCGGTTACGCTCCCCTCCTCCTCTACGGATGCCATCGCTGCATTCCTCGAAAATTTGGAGGTATCGTTTGGCCATCTCGGGGCTGTTCTCAAAAGCCTTGGTGTAGTCGGAAAGGTGCGCACAGACAGGTGCCAACCAAGACGGGTGTCTTGTTTATATCAGTGTTCTTAACCAGGCCGAGCTCGATGATTTGGCGTGCTGGGAATCGGTCGAGCGCGACTGCTGGCTTGACCAGGAACTCCGACCGCAGACACACGGCGAGATCACGCCTTACGAGTTGCGGTTAATCAAGACGGCACTCACGAGGAGAGGGCGATATCTAGAAGATAGCGGGAAGAGAAAGCAGCGCGTAGAGTAATCAACGAATTGTCTGTCACGGAATCTTGAAGACATCAAAGATGGTCCATTCATTATCTGTGTCCGTGTTGATTAAGCGTAACGCGTGGCACGTGCCCGTGTTTTTCGCCTCACGAGCGCGTCGCTTGTTGAATGACACCCGCGGTCATGTATCACGAAAGGTGGAGATGGTTTCCACTCGGCCGACGAAGAACCGGGAGCTTATCGTAGCCCGATGAAGTGACCTTTCTTCGCTCTCCCTCTCGGTGTCCATTGACGCTGCATCCCAGTCAACAGTGATGCCCGACTTGATCCCTAAACCGGACCCTCAAACGGTCAAATCGCGCTGGTTGAGGGACATACTTGAGGAGTTGAACCCGGATTTCCCCACCGAATGGCATGCTATGACCGTGCGCGGAGCACCTCTCCCCCCCTCCACGCGCATACGAGATAATATTTTCTCCGCAGTATAAGATGCGTGTGGTGATACAAAAGCATCTTGATCCGAATAAGTCGATGGGGCAGCAAAACAAGGACGCCGTCGACCAGTGTGCAAAGGAGGTCAGATTATTCATGCTCGTGTTGCTTCGTCGTGCCTCTTGTCGGGACAGGCGCGCGTGCATTGCACACACGTTCAGGGCAGGCGGCTTGCTTACTACGTTTGTTCCAGATATGCGAACAGATCACGTACTTTCGACAGTTCGAGGGCGCTTGGCCTACTCTGCTGTATATGGAGCAGTACATCGTCCACAACAAGGGGAAGAATAGAATTCGCGGCGATCTGTCCGGTCCATGGCGTGAACCCCGGTTGGCTCGCAACCACATACACGAGAAACGCCGCCGACGCCGGTCGTCGTTCTCGCCGTTCAAGTCTCCGAAACCCATTCGACGCGTGGTCATGCCAGCCGCGGCGAAGACCCAGAGCGACTTCATTGACCTCACAACGGATTCGGACGACGAATCAAGGGGCACTGCCAGCTGCAGCGCGGCCGCTCCCCGGCGCCGGAGCCTCAGCCCGCTTCGGACCAGGAGTCGCAACGTCGCTCGTTCGGGAGCCTCTGGCCTGACAGCAGTCGACGAAGACGTCAAGGTCAGTTACCCCGTCGTGCAAGAAGTACCCTACTGACCGCTCCGTGCTTTGCAGCCCTCTATCAGTGCCCCTCCAGCCCTGGAAGGTAAACGGCGGCCCGTTCGCCCGTTCGTAGGCAAGCCCCGGTCGCCCCCCGCTCCGTACCGCCCCATTGGAAGTTCCATTGGTGGGCCTTCGCAACCGGCATCAGCCCGTGCGAATCCAGTGCAGGCGTTCCTGGGCAATCTGGACGTGCCAATGGGTCATCTTTACCCCATATTTCACGACTTGGGCATACGTGAGCAGGTCAGATGTTCAACATCTCTCTGTCTGCATGCTGCCACTCTGAAAGTACATAGCGCTGACATCTTTCTGCCCAGGCTGCCCTTGACGAGCTCGCGAGATGGGACGCTAGCGAGCGCAACGCTTGGCTAGACGGCCAGCTTCCGTCGCGCGAGGAACAGGGCAAAATCACTCCTTTTGAAACACATGTTGTGAAGAGGGCTTTGATGAAGCGCGGAGAATACCTCAGAGCGTCCGATAAAGAGAACAAGGCCCCATAGGTCTCAATAGTCGAGTTAACTTGCATGTATTGTTCCGTCTGCCGTTATTTCTGTGCTTGTCTTGTACGGTATCGATGTTTATTTTGATCTGTTCTCTTGATTTCACTTTTTTCAACTATCGCTTGGTGTAGGATTTTGGATGTCACGCGTACGAGAAGCCGCACGTGCGCGTTACGAGACGTGTATCCGCCGACCAGAAGTGGTGGTGTGTAATAGGCGTGCGCCATATGTACGTATACGTACATTCGATGGCTACTATTCCCACTCGCCGTGTCGATACATAAGATGATGGATCTCCTTTGTCACCACCACTCACGGGTCGTCCATCCCTTCCACAGTTCCACCATTGCTGTAGCGGTGACTCGGACCATGTCCGAGTTGATCCCAAAACCACAGAACAGAAAGTCGAGAAAGCCGCAAAAGACGCCGCCCTCGCTGACGGATATACTGGACCAATTGCACGATGAAATCATTGACAACTGGACTACGATAAGCGTGCGTAGGCTGGAATACGACTTCGTGCTACGATCGTGGAATGACCTGCCTTTTGTCTAGTACGATATACGCAGGACCTTGCAGAAACATTTGGACCCCGAGAAATTGATTTCACAGCAGGATGCAGCTGCTATCAACGCGTGCTTGGATGATGTCAGTAAGAGCCACGTATGCGGTAACATGCACACCCATTTAACTACTACCGCGCGCAGATTTGTACACAGTACCCAATTTTTCGACGTTATGAGGACGCGTGGCCTGCATGCCAATATGTGGAGCAGTACCTCTTCTGGAATTTGACGAAAAATCGGCTTCAAGGCCAAGCTTGTCGTTGGAGGCAGACAATGTTGATGTGCCACCGCTCATACCCGTCATACCGGAGGCGCATCAGACTATCGTTAACAACGAGGCGCCCCGTCCGCAGTTGTCGGAAATTAGATACTATCACCCGGAAAAGAAGTCAAGCCGAATCTACGGACTCGAATATCGCAGACCGTGCCGAGAACGAATCGAGCGCTGCGCCGCGTCTACAGGGGACTGATCCGCCTCAGGAAGAGGTGCGTACTCGGGAATATCCTTCCTCATCGCAAGGAAATCTGAGAATGCGCTTCAGCAACTTTCCGTGAGTGCTCTGCCGACTTTGGGTTCGAACAATACGCGACGACATCTGCGGGCTTATGTGGGCAAACTTCGACCATCCCCGTCTGCCTTCCTGCCTCGGGGCAAGTCGACCGCTTCGGAGGGTGCAAGCTTAAGTGCAGATGCGGTCGACATATTTCTGAGCAACCTGAACGTCCCTATGAGTCATCTCTCCGGCGTTTTCCACGGGCTGGGCGTTTCCGATGAGGCTAATCTGAAAGTTCAGAACTACAACCTGTCGCTGATGCTCTTCCCCGTAGGCCCGGCTGGATGAATTGACCCGGTGGGACGCCATCGAGCGGAACTCCTGGTTAGATGCGCAACTCCTTCTGGGAAAGTGGGGCGAGATCACTCCCTTTGAGTTGCAGGTGGTGAAGCGGGCCCTGATCCAGCGGGGAGAATGGCTCGGGATGTCGGAGAAAGAACATGTCGTCTAGTATTGTGATCTCGTGCGCATGCCCTGTTCGAACAATGTGGAATGTGTAACAATTACCCCTAGTGTTTGGATCCTTCTATTATCTGTAGTATGAAATATGGAATAGCATCCCGTTCCTAGTGATGCGCTTTCTCGTCCGATGTCGTCTCAGACGCCGTGTCTCCCTCGGCCGTACGTGCGTCTTGCGCAGCTTCCCGAGCAAGTTTCGTGTCTCCCAGCCCGACGCCAATCTCTTTCACGACTAACCATGCTGGTATCAAGCTGATTCCCCACAGGCCGAAGTTGAGCGCCGAGCCCCCAAAGACGGCGAACGTGTGCACGCTGCTGAGGCCATACGAGACCGCCTGGGCGGCAGACTCGGTCCCACGCAGGAGCGCTGCCACCCGAACGACGTCCTCCGTCGTGGGCGCGAGGTGACCGACGACGAAGTAAAGGTAGAGATAGTTGAGTTGGAAACCGATGACGAGGAAGAGGAAGAGCGCAAAACCGGCCCCGAAACCGGGCGTGTCCCAGTCGTAGGTCGGGTGCGTGTGTCGGTAGCGTGTGGTGAGCACCGTGGACCATATCCACCATCCGCCTTGCAGGCCGAGGACGACGAAAAAGGCTGTGCGAGCGCGCTGTTTGAGGCTGATGGATACGCGATCGAGATACCACTGCAATACAGTGTGAGCGGCTGCAAGACACCCGCTGGAATGCTGATGGACTTACCCCGAGAAGGTTGCCCGACGCCAAGGCAGCGATGGCGGAAAGGAAGGAGCCAAGGGCGCGAGCTCGTACGCTGAACCATACTACCGGGAACGGGTGAGGACATTACAGTGGAAAACGACCGGACCCAATGCTTACGTGATTGATATGTGAACATCACGGCTTCAGAGTATACGGCTTGTGCGATGAGAGGCACAATAAGCAAGAACTGGGAAGTAAGGGCCATTGTCAGACGATGCATGGCGATGGGGAGCAAACCAGGCACACGTTTCGGCTGAAGAAGATCTTCGCGGTGGCCTTGAGCTCGGCCTTACTGGAGCCCATAATCTCGAGGTGCACAACCCGCCCATCAGTCCTTTCCACCTTCCGCGGCGGCGTGAGAAGAAGGCCCGCGAACGGCGCGAGCGCCTGCAGAACGATGAAGACGATGTAGACCGTGTACGAGACTTTGCCGGCGTTCCCGTTCTTAGCGTTGATTCCGAGGTTAATCGCGCCGCCGACGAGCTGGCCGCCGATGCGGAAGGAGAGCCAGAAGCCGAGGAACTTGCCCTGATTTTGCGGCTCTGGGTATGCAAGCGCGATCGCCGCCTCTGCCTACGACGTGAAGTTAGCTCGGTTGTAGTAACATGTCGGGTTGCGGACGCACCATCCAGAAGATACCAGCGCTGATCCCGCACAGCGCGGCTCCGACGAGCACGAACCACTCGTTTCCGTATCGGTTGTTGGTGTAAAGGCCTGCGGCGTATGCTAAGGATCCGTGCTTAGGATTAGTTCTATGATGAACAAACGGTAGTACACATACGTGCGTAACCCATAGTTCCGATGATGAGGGTCGCTTTTATGCCGATCAAGTTGACGATAGCACCTGCATGTTGTATGAGTATCAGCACAGGACGGTCGTTGAATCATACTCACTCGAGAAGTAGCACGATACGACCATACTGGAGAAAGTCTGGTCAATACCCATTGATCACCATACAGATATTACGCACAGGCAAAATGTCAGGGCATTGGCCGCGCTACATGGACGGATCAGCACCTTTCATATATTCAAGGTCGGTCCAGGAGAGGAAACTAACTTGACAAGGTACGGTTCTATTGCTGGAGGTTAGTGCACCGCACCCTGACCATGTATGTACTGAACTTACTCTCTTCGCCACCGGCACCTAGCGAGTTCATCGCGCCCCAGATTCCTACGGAACGGAGAAGATCAATACGACGTTCAATATGAACATGGCAAGGCGGCATACCCGGGGCGAGGAAATTGCATATACCAAGGATGAGAGCGTTATAAAACGTCGATCTATACCTAGACGTCGAGCCATCGTGTCAGATTCGGTATGCGCTACAACCACGAGATCGACATGCTCACCATCTCGGCTTCTTGTACGAGCGCGTCACCGTGATCTTCTTGGTGCCTTCTTCGACAGCGGAAGACATGCTTGAAGCTAAAGAATCGCCGAGCAGCAGCAGGCAACAGGGTACGGGACCGATACGCTATCTCTTCTTTGCATCTCCAACCTTCTTTTGAAGGCCGTCCAAAGACCTACGAGCTCGAGCAGATCATACTGGCTAATTCAGGACAAGGATGGCGTTATTTCCGAACGCAAGGCGACACGACGGCTCTCCGGGCCCGATAACGAAGGAAGGAAGGGGACGCAGAGGTGGAGAATCCCGATGCTCGATTGGATATTGCACTGGTATTGCTCATTCGGAGGCTTCGATGTTGCAATCGCGTCAGGCACCGCAGGAACCCCGACTAGCGCCATTATCAATGTTATACCGACTCCCGCCGTACTGGAAGATCTGTAGGACCATATACTAAGAAATGGGTACGAAGACGGAAAGAAGGTGCCAAAGAGCGAGAAAAGCCCAGATTCGCGATCGTTTCGTGCCACAGACTGGCAGCTCACGCCATCATCCGTCGCTTTGCTAGGTACAGTACTTGACTTGCGTTCCACACCTCTACCATGCGGCGCCGAGCGTCTGCAAAAGAGTTGTCCAGGAGTCCACGACGGCCCACAGAGTATGTCTTAGTTATAGTGTACAACCTGCCCAAAGAACTTCGTCAGCACACCAAAGAAACCGTAAGAGAGAGACACCGAAGCGGGCGCTTACCTTCTCGCCGCCTATCATCGCCTCCTCCTCGTGCCCCCCTTCGATCTCCTTCTTCGCACCATTCTGCCCGTACGCCTTCACGCGGCTCGTCTCCCATTCCCATGCCGTCGGCGCGTCCTTCCCGCCGTTGAAGAACGTCTTGCCCGTCGAGGACGCGACGGGCGAGTCGGAGAGCGGCGCGAGGCGGACGGAGCGCGAGAACTGGGCGAAGTAGAAGACGCCGATGCGGCGGTAAGGGACCTGGGCCGGGTCGGGCGGGGCGACGACGCGGTGGATGGTCGGTTTGAGGAAGCCGCCGGAGAGGACTGGCGATGCAACGGGTGAGCTGCGGACTCGGAAGAGGGGGAAAGGAGAAAGATGAGACGATGCGTACAGTGTAATGCGTCGCCGAGGTTGATGACGAGCGCGTTGGGGACGTGCCGGACGAAGCGCCATACGTTGTCGGGCATCTAGTGTTCTCGCTCGTCAGCTTCACTCTATGATACACAGGTGAAAACGAGTTACGTACGAGGACCTGGAGCGAGACGATTGGTTGCGAATACAGTACTGGTAGGGTCATATAGAGCATGAGTCTCGACCGTTAAAGTGTATGTGAGTGAAGGGCGTACGGGAAACGCTGTTGAAGTCGGTGTGGCCCTGAAGGCGCACGCCGGCCGTTTTGCTATCCTCTTCCGGGGATGGCGGGTGGTAGAGGGCGTACCGGAAGAGGTCAAACTGCTGCTCCGGGTCCTTCGCGAGGTTCCAGAGGTAGGTCGGCGGGAGCTTGAGCACGAGCGAGAGCACCGAGAGGATTTTGCGGTAGATGTGGTCGTGGTTGTACTTGTTGAACTCCGCGATCTCGTCCACAAGGGGACGAAGCGCGGGCGGGAAGACGCGTTCCCGAGCGTCGGGATTGAGGATGGCCTGGGCGCCGAGGCTGAAGTGCTCGATCTGGTCCCGGACGCCTTTGAGCTGCCAGTGCCCGCGCGGCTTGTAGCCGGTGAAGTCGCCCTCTTCGAGAATCTTGGCCGCGTACTTGGTTTTGTCCTCTTCGGAAACTCCGTCGAATGCGTATTGCGCGATGCTGAATTGCCTGAGGAGAGGAAGAGGACGGTGTCAGGGCGCAGATGCGAGCGATCAGGATTGAAGGAAGTACCGTTGGATGGTTTCGGGATTGAGGCCGTGTCCGGTAGCGTAGATGAAACCGTCTCGGGTGAAAGCGTCGCCAATGGTCTTCACCACGGACTCGGGCACTTGCTCGTACTCGTCGCCGGTGACAACGCTCAAGTCTAGCGTCTCGAGCTTCGCGTAGTCAACTGGAAATCGGAGGAAAATGCCGAGATAAGAACAAAAGGAACAAAAGGAGTTGGCATGGGCGCGACGTACATTCTTTCTGAGACTCTGGGGGGAAGTCGAACTTCGGGATGTCAGCGAGGACGCCTGGCATGGTTTTTCAAAGCGCGGTTGAGCAAGAGGAGAGGGTCGCGATGTGTCCCGTTACAGCGTCCGATGGTATATGCAGCTTGAGCTCGTCCACTGATATGGCGGTCATCGGTACCCCGGATGGCGTCAGAGAAGTGCAGGAGCACGAATGTCTTTGCATTGACAACTCTAATCAAGCGGCGGGTGCCCTGTAAGTGCGTCGGCCGAGATCGTGCTTAGGTTATATCTGTGCACCATGTTGTTGAGAGCGGGAGTATGGCGCGAGCAGCACGTACGCCTGGCCAGCAGAGCTCGACGTCGTTGCAGCAAACCAGTATAGCAACGATGTCGGTGAGTCACCGGATTTGGCCGATATTGTGTGGAAAAGTCCCTCGGCTCGTGATATTTGGTCAAATTCTGCAGTTTGCCTAACCCTCTACCTTTGCGTAATCTTGTCAAGTCCACGGATACCTGCTCTCATTGGCCGCTAGTATTGCGTCGAAATCCTGGCGCGGTAGGCGATGTAATTTCGAACTCCCCATAGGGGAAGGAGTTGGTTTCACCTCCGCCAATTAGGGATCGGTTATTCCAAGCACATCAAGCTCGTGCGTTTAGACCAGAACACAGGTACCGTCCATTATTGAACTATAATTTAGCTTCGGCAAGGTCCATTCTAGGAAAATACACGAAAAGTGCCTCATGTTTCGCCCCACAAAGATTGCCGACCCACGGTAGTCTCGGGCGGGGCAGATTGAGCACCACTTTACTACCGTTGGTACGTACATGTGGCAAAAAGCCTTGACGGTACCACTCTGCCACCATTCTGCTGCTAATCTGCGCGACAATCATAGCCCAACAACTTAGCTTGTTATTGAACCATCTACGTATTTCGTCGTGCGAGGATTTTTCATTTTTACCACCATCTCGAGACCGAATACCATGTTGACCTTGCTCCATTGAAGATGAAACCTGCTTCATGGCTAGCTTCAACGCCGAGTGCACGTGGGCCGGTCGCAACGCTGATCGTACACGTCGCACGAACTCACCGATGTTCCAAGTCAGCGCAACAGCAGCGACGGACAATTCCGCGCCTCGGTGTTTGAACCCACTCTGAACCTTGGCTATCTCGAGCTTCTTGAACAGGCCGTGCGTACGTACGACTGGTGGCGTTTTTATCGGACTAGCCGGCGCACGCCGTCTGCATCTGACGTGCCGCACACTCTAGGTTCATGCTGTCAGGAATTTTAGTGCGGTCTTCTACTCCGGCTTAGCGCAATCTGAGTTGCCGTTTTATCTCGACCGATGATGGAGAACAACAAACTTGAATTCAGTGGCGTCGCCACTGGCCACTATTCAGGTCTCCGAACATGAAACGATGTTTATGTCCCCTTCACGACTTATATTCCTCTGGTCGCGTTGTCGATTCGAAACCGTGTACTTGAACGAACCTTGATATGATTTCCATGGCCGGTACGCCCATCCCAACCCCGCGCTTCATGCTCTTATAATTCGTCTCCCATTCAGATTCAACAAAAGCGACTACCGCGAACTCCCAGTTCTGTAATGTACACAGGGAATCAGGCGAGCTTGGTGTTGTGAACAATGCAACGTGTGTACAGCGGTAACAGCAGAAGAGGTGAGTGTACAGAGACCAGCGATACGTACTACTTACATCATCCAGTCCAGGAAGATGGCCAATCCTGACTCCCACAGCCTGGAAACATGCACTGAGCCTGACAACATGCTACATGACCTCGGCGTCCGGCTCCGGGCACAGTTTGAGGAGATCGGGAGTATGGTAGACCTAGATGCGGCCATCGGTGTCCATCGAGTGTCTCTCAAGCTTCGTGTGGAAGGAAACCTTCTCCGATGTTGGTCCTTGCGCGAGCTGTCGCTCTGCCTTGCGCACCGCTTTCGTCGCACAGGGAACGTCGCCAATCTCACTGAAGCACTCGAAGTCTGCAAGGAGCAGGTCAGTATAGCACCTCCGGTCATGTCCGGGCTTTGCGCTCGTCAACTCGCAGAGTTGCTTCACATGCGGTCAGAATACTCGTGCAGCCCTGAAGACCTGGAAGAGGCCGAGCACGTCTTGGACGAGAACTTTGATCCCTGGGTAGCCGCCGATGCATCCCATGTCGCACTTGACGTTGACTTCCTGAGGTATTGCTCCGCGAGGCGCCTCGGATCTCCGGCAAACATCGAAGAGACGATATACGCACTGCGCCAGAAGCTATCTCAGCATCCGACAGAGAAGTGGATCTACCAGTGCTGGCTCGGACTGGCGCTACGCGACCTCTTCGCACGGGTCGGCCTCCGCGAAGATATTGACGAGGCGGTCAAAATGTCGTGCGCCGCTGTTGCCGCATGTCCCGCCCGACACGTTTCTCGTTCGCTCGTCCTCAGGCAGTGCTCACTGGTGCTAGTAGCGCGATTTCGCGCCTTTCAACTCGAGGAAGACGCACGGGAGGCCGTAAGGATCCTCGTGACCGTGCTCAAGATGCTCCCGCTTGGACATGGGGAACGCCATCGATGCCTGGCAGAGTTGGCACGCCTGTTGCTCGACGAGGGCTCGCCTGTCTACGATGTGGGCGAGGCATTAGGTTTTCTGTGTCAGGCAGTGGAGGATACATCCGGCAGCCCACGCAGGCGCATCGAGGATACCGTGCGGCTGCTTAACGTGATCAAACGCAGGTCGGGCATGGACGCTCCCGCGAACGAGGCACTTGTGCGCGTATATATCGGCGGAGTCGGGCTGATGGTGGACGCGGCGTCGGACGTCGGTTGGACGCCGGAATCGAGACTTCGCGCTTTGCTATCCTCCGATGCGCTGCCCGCGGAGGCGGCAGCGCACGCTTTCAGGTCGCTTCACCAGCAACTTGCGATATATCTACTCGACCGAGGGAGAGCGTCGGTTTGGGCTTGTACCGGGGGTGAAGTAACGCAAAAGAGCCACGATTTGAGGGGTGTGGTCGCATTTCAGGCACAGCTGGGGAGCTCGTTGGTGCCCAAGGAATACGCGGATATATCCTTGGCGGCGGAAAGGGGCCCCGTGGTGCTGCTCCTCGAGAGCGAGGCGGCGTGCTTTGCGATTGTCATCAGGTCGCCGACCGATCAACCGCGGCAGGTACCCCTCGCGTCTGCTTCTTCCAAAGAGCTGGGGCATGTTAGGTCCTCCTGGGAGAACATTGCCCGGCGAGCATATGGAGATATCCAGAATTCAGTCGCCATCACCGGTGATGTGGGCGGTGCCAGAATTATGCCCCTCATGGCGCAGGACTCAAGTGCGGACGAGGAGCTCGTGTCGATACTGGAGAATCTGTGGTGGATGGTCGTTCAGCCGGTTGTGCACGCGCTGGGTTTGAAGGCGAGTAAACTAAACGAATGGCATTTCCGTCTTTGCCTGACCAGTGAGTTCCGCAGAGAAGCAGCGGCCGCACACGGCCTCGCGTATGGTGATGCCCTACGGGAAAATTCAGCTTCTTGCCCCTTCATGCTGCCGGTATTGGAGATTACCAATGCAGCGACTACATGGTGTCTTCGTATACCCCGACACTCGCGGCATTGGTTGACGCTCGCAAGTCTTACAGATCCCGGGGATGTCATGACCCCGGAGGGACTAGAATGCTCCTGACCGGCGTGGCGGAACCCAAGCAGGGATGGACAGATCTGGCGCTCGTGGCGGACGAGCTTACGGAGGTCGCGAACGCCGTCCCGAACACAGTATCTGTCTCGCTGGCCCCGTGCGCGGACCCGAGCACGATCTTGGATCTCTTTCCGCGCGTGCAGATCTTCCATATCGCCTGCCATGCGCGGCAGGATCTGGTCGAGCCACTCGGAGGCGGGCTCGTCGTGCGAGACGGGGTGGTGACCGTGAAAGAGCTTGGCGCTTTGCACGCCGACGACGGGCTACTGGCTTACCTCTCTGCCTGTGGGACCGCGAGGGGCGACCCCGGACAACCGAACCAGACTATCCACCTTGCCACGGCGGCGTTGCTCGCCGGTTTCAAGAGCGTTGTCGCCACCATGTGGTGCGCATCATCATCCTCTATGTTCTTTATGGTGCCCTGAACTAGTATAACAGGGATATGGACGACGGCGATGGGCCTGTCGTTGCGGGCGCGTTCTACCGCGCGCTGTTTCGAGACGGAACGGTGGAGCTTGATCTCGACGCGGTGCCGTATGCGCTAGACGAGGCCGTTCGAATGTTGCGAGGGGCTGGGGTGTCTCCGATGCGCTATGCGCCCTACATCCATTTTGGCATCTAGAAAACAACTTCAGTGTCGAAACAAGGTGCGAGCGCGTTGGTCTTTCGATTGTACTAGCCATGCATTTCGTTAGGTCGGAGCATTGCAAGAAGAGGGCCTTCAAAGTATGATATCCGGCAGCATATCTACTGATCGGTAGTACCTGGTTTTCTCGTAGAACATCCGTAAGGTATGTTTACATTGCTTTACATTCAATACAGTACAATTTTCGCTTCGGCGGGTATGTATCGTAAGCACGTTGAGGTAGGAGAATACATCAGCTTAACGTAGAACGTAAGCCTCGCATGTCGGGGACGACACAGGCACGAACAAGCGCTTGGCTATATGCAGCTTATACTAATCAACCGGAACGAGGATATTGCCAGCGAATGCTCCTCGAGAGTGGTGCAGGATTTGCGTGTCATGGCAAGGAACGTCCCGGCGACGCGCTTCATCGGCCTCTGATACTGCGCGGTGGGCGGCAGCACATCGGGTCGCAAGTGGGCAGCGAGCGCGCACTGTGACGTTTATGAGGTGTAGTGAAGCAGATGGTAAGCCCTGTAGGCTGTTGGACGCCAAGGCGAGTGAGGACGGAGGGTTGGTGGTGGTGCGTCACTAGTCCTCCTCCATGTCGAGATCGCCCTCGACGCCGGCGCCCTCGCCCACGTCGTCAAAGTCGACCGCGTTCGCGTCCTGGTCCCACTGCCCGTCCGCGTCCGCGTCGCCCCAGGCGTCTTCGCCCTCGGCGTCCGCATCGGGGAGCATCAGCTCCTCCGCTTCTCCGGGCGGCGGTTGCCCGTTCGTGATTACGGGACCGGAGGTGGACGTGAGCGAGGATTGGACGAGCTCGAGCACTTCGTTGATTTGGGCTTCGGTGAGCCGGTCCTCGAGCTCTTCGACGACGGTGTAGAGCTCGACGGCGGTCGTCGGCGCGAGGTTGGCCATCTGCAGCTTCTCGGCCTTGGTAAGGCCATACGGAGCGAGACCTTTAAGGAGGGTGGTGATTCCTTGCGGCGTCTGGCGCGCGGTGGGGTGGTACGGCGCGTCGAGGTACTGGATAGCCTGGGGATGTAACAAGAGATGAGGGTGGGTTCGTCGGTAAGGATGGGGGCGAACTCTTACCTCAACTTGGATGGTACGGAGGTGCTCGCAAGTCTGTTGATCAGTTGAATTGTGAGTTGGCACGGCGCCGGCAGCCTCTTCCTCTTTCTTGATGCGCTGCGCGGTCTTGGCGCGCGCGAGGTGGTCCGCCTCGAGTTCTTTGAGAAGGCCGAGCACCTCAAAGTTGGAGAGCAACGCCGCTCGAGGGTTTATCACCTTTCGTTTTTCGTTTCGTCAGGATAAGCTCCATGTCCTCGAGGCGATCGCGAGGAACAGGACCGACCTCCATGGGGGGGGGGGGAAAGGAAAGCCGAGGAAAGAAAAGAAGATAAAACGGGGAATATAGATGTGGCTGTGCACTCGTCGCACCTCTTCGTCTTCCGTCCTGCCTTGGCGCGCGGAAGTGACTGACTTTGTCTTCGTCTCCGACTTCGTCTTCGTCGACACCACAGCGACAATACCGGTCTACAAATACAACCCTACAAACTCACAATCAAACACGATGAATCGAGGTGACCGATCAGCCTGGTCTTTGTCCATACTCCAAAGGCTCATTAAAGAAACCCTTCGTTGGACCCAGGCCAACCACCACAACGCCCGCCGTCGCTCGCGCCGCCCACCGGTCTCGGACAACAACTTCCCACCCAAGGGCTCGGGCCGACGGGAACGTACCGCGCGGCGTACCCGCAATACAACAACCACACGCTCCCGCCGCCGCGGACGACGCTCATGCCCGGCTTCCCCGCGCTCCAGGCGGCGCAGGCGCAGAGCCAGACCCGGCAGCAGAACGCGGGGGGTCTTTCGCCGTTCGGAGGGCAGGGGCAGCAGCGCGGGTCGAGCGCGTTTGCGTACAGCGGGATCGGCCAGCAGACGACGACGGGGAGCAGCGGGCTCGGGGGGCAGCCGATGCCGCCCGCGCCGTCGAACGTGTCCGGCCAGCAACAGCAGCAGCAGCAGCAGCAACAACAACATCCGGCGGCGACGCCGTCGCTGTCGTCCGCGAGCGAAGTGGGGCTAGATCCGAACGACTTTCCCTCGCTCGGCGCGGGGTCGAACGGCAATAACGGCGGGAATAACGGCGGCGGCGGCGCTGCGCCCGTGGCGAGCTATGCGAGCCAGGCGCAACAGCAGGCGCAGCAACAGGCGTCGCAGATGGGCGGAGGGGCGCAGAGGGATTTTACGCCGGACGACTTCCCGGCGTTGGGTGGGCAGCAGCAACAACAGCAGCAGCAGCAGCAGCAGCAAGCGCCTAGTCAAGATGGGCCACCGCCGGGACTGGGCGGATACGGTGGTGCTGGGGCGAACGGGGACGGGCAGGCGACGGTGCCGCAACCGAGGCAGCAGACGCCTGGGTTGCTGAACCTCGGGCAGGCACAGGTGCGGAGTGCGAGCGCGCAGGCGCAGGAACGGGTGCGCGTTACTTGCTCTGTGCAGACAGAGAAGGGTCTCACGAAATGTGCATTCCTTAGCATCAACAGCAACAGAGTTATACCCTCAAGCAGCAGGCGTGGCCGTCGCCGAGCGTGTCGAACGCCCCGCCCTCCTCGTTTGCACAGCAGCAGCAACCACAAGGTCAACAACCTCCGAACGGCGCGAACGCCACCGCCACGCAACAACAACAACAACCGCAACCGCCTAGCGCGCCGCCGGGCGTGCTCCCCCCGCACCTCCAGCAAGCCCAGCAGCAGGCGGCGGGCTACAACAACGGGAACGGGAACTCGCTCGCGACGGACTCGGCCGGGCCGTCGGCGGCGGCGCTCCCGCAGACGCCCGCGCAGCAGGTGCTCGTGTCCGCCGCGGACCGCTGGGGCCTGCTCGGCCTGATCGCGCTGATCAAGAGCGACAATCTGAACGCGCAGCTGTTGAGCGTCGGGACGGACCTGGCGACGATGGGGCTCGATATGCAGCATCAAGGGTGAATGTTCATTTCATCTATCGTCGCTTCTTTGTTTCCTGTAATCTGTCCGGCTTATACCCTTTCGCACGCGCTCCTTCCTGCTCCCCTTGTTTTTTTTTAATCATGTGTTTTTTCTGGGCCTTTTTTTTTCGTCTTGTTTTGTCGGGGGCTCCAAAATGCTGATGTTATGTGTCATTGCGTTTCTACTCGATGGTGTTTTGGGTTTTTTTTTCCAGCGCGCTCTATTCGACGTTCATCACGCCCTGGGCGGACTCGTCCGCGGCGCGAGGGATCGAGCCCGATTTTTCGGTGCCGGCGTGCTACGCGAGCGTGAACACGCCGCCGCCGGGGCCGGCGAAGGCGCAGGCGTTCAGCGACGAGACGCTGCTGTACGTGTTCTACGCGTGTCCGCGGGACGCGGTGCAGGAGGTCGCGGCGCAGGAGCTGTGGAACCGGCAGTGGCGGTGGCATAAGGAGCTGAGGGTGTGGATCACGAAGGAGGGCGTGGCGCAGGGGGAGGGGATGGCGAGGAAGTTTCCTGGCGGCGAGCAGGGTGCGTCCTTTTTTTCTTTTCGTCTGAGTTTGTGGTTGACGGAACGGGGCGGTGGTGCTGACGCTGTGTGGGTTTTGGCAGGAGTGTACTTCTACTGGGACCCGGATACTTGGCAGAAGGAGCGCAAGGAGATGTTGGTGCGGTACGACGACCTGGAGGAGAAGACGACGCCGGCGTTCGTGCCGAACAGCGTCGTGCTGCAGCCGATGGCGCAGGCGCAGCAAGCGCAACAGGGGCAGCAGGGGCAGGGGCAGCAGCCATCCGGACACGGCGCGATGGGACAGATGCCGGTCGGGATGAGGCTCGGCGGGGTGGGCCAGGGCCGGTTCGCGCAGGTGGGCGTGGCGGCGATGTGAGCCGCGGGTGTCAAGAGACCCGGATTTCTGGCGAAAGTATACGCCTTTGTCGATTCGAGTTTCGACGAACCCCCCCCCTGAGATATCCCGTTTCCGACTCTGTACGTTTACTGCAAAACTGTAATGCGCTACTACTACATATTACCATCCGGTTTTACGAAACTTGGTCATTCCTCCTCCCCTCCTCGAAAGGAAATATGCTTTGTATGACGCGTCGCGAGGGCCTCTCTCTTTTTTTTTTTTTTTTTTTTTTTTTTTTTTTTTTTT